GCAGACTGTATGTCTTACGAGTCACGCCTGCTTTGAACTTCTGCATGTTTTCAAATTCTTCAACCACTTTCCTGCCGGAATATGACGCCATAGTGAATATTGTCTCAGTACCCATGATTCCTAGTGGATCTTTCATCCAGGCTCCTTGTTTAAAAGAGCGAGTGTTGTGAGTGACTGGGCTTCCAACAGTCTTGATGGTAGTACAACTGTCTGTAACAAACAAAAAACAAACGCGCGTCACCCCATGCAGTTGTAAGGATCAGAGTTTATAGAACATGTTTTCCATACTGCTGCTTAACTAAATGACTACACTTTTGGATCCAAGGTGCGTCGAGAAGTTTTCATTCAAGCCGAGTGGCCCATCATGGCAGCGCTTATCTTTATTTCAGTATAGCATAAATGGACGACACTGTAAGTCCTCAATAGTTCCCAGTAGATGGTCTTCCACCCTCAAGAGAAGAGGCGCACTGTGAGATGGTAAAAGGCTTACTCACAACAAACACAACACAGTGACACCGCTCGAATTCGGACCACTCGATCTGGAATCCTGCGAGCTAAATGCTATCGTGCTTAGATAGATAGATAGATAAACTTTATTTAAACACGATAATAATTAAAGCTAAAAGTCTTCAATGAAACAGAAATCTTAAGATAGGAAGATACGATATCATACAACTTGAAAAGATAAAGAACAACTAGGTGCAATCTCAGGCTTACTTAATATACGAGACTCAAACATTCTTATAGCAATCACCTACAGTAAGATATAAAACTAATCAGGTTGAGCAAAGTTTATTATATATTAATATTAATAAGATGCGTATATCTTGAGGTGGCGTTCGCTACAAGTCTGGTGTTTTTTTGGAGGTCTCCCCGATCCTCGCCCTATCAAAATTGTTAGAACTTTTTTACTGTGGCAAATACAACGATGGTAATAAAACCACGTAGGTTGCTCTTGTTGATTAGGATTCATAAATGCTACAAATTCTATGTCAGTAGTGAGTAGAAAAAATACTGCACATCTACCTTACTTCAAGTGCTCTTTAGATTTCGTGCTGTATAAAGCAAGCCTTTTTCT